ATGGAGGTATATTATGAAATAAACCACTTACAAAACTTTGAACCCAACCCTCTAAATGTAATTGCAATGCCATNGAATTGCATCAATTACACAATCAATCGTTAATTTTTCACTTAACCCGTTCGTCTGTTGATTTCCATCACGAACTAAATGTGCATCTGAGATAGGTAAATGGGGGTGAGCTTGGGACGCCTAGTAAACAATTTAAAACACAACATATTGAATCATATGGTCAAACGATGATCCAACAATCAACCACAAAATCAACAAATAAAATAAGTATTTAACACTAATCCCATCATAAAATCATACAAAACCCAACAATTCTATCTTTTCAACTCACTCAAACCTGCATACTTGATTTGTCTTGGTTATATACTAGGCTCTACTCGGTACACCTCATTCTGACATACCTCTAAAGGCAAATATCACATCTCAAAACAATATCTATGTCACCAAGTACACTTGACGCATGTGCCAATAGGTCCCAAGCATGCCAACAACAAAATATTTTACGCACAACAAATAAAAAGATACATCACACAAAAACCCAAACAAATATCGAAAATAAACAATTACACAATGGATCAAAATAAAATGACGATAGCACTAAATGATTCTTTAAAAAAAAAAAGATTTATGAATGGAGGTATATTACTAAATAAACCACTTACAAAACTTTGAACCCAACCCTCTAAATGTAATTGCAATGCCATAATAACACTCCATCAATCTTAAATCAACCATAATTCCTCTTCTTTTTTTGTTCTTTTCATTGACCCTTTGTTTTTCCCTCAATTCTCTCTCTCTCTCTCTCTCTCTCTCTCTCTCTCTCTCTCTCACACCCGCCTTTGCACACTATTCTCACCTCAAGGAGTCCAATAAATAGAAGGTCGGAACTCCCCGATAGGAAAAGAAAGAAAAAAAAAAGCAATGAAAAAAAAAAAAGCAATGCCAAGAGCTTCGTCAATCCACTATTCATTGATAGACGAAGCTCTCTCTTTTATCATCTCGTGCCAGATGTAACAAAGGATGAGTCAATTTTCCTTCTCGCGAACCACAGGAGTACCTAATGCTTGGAGTAAAGCTCGTTTTCCTTTCAGGGTAAAGCGGCACATAAAAAAAGGTTGTCCCGTTAAAAGTCTGGTTCCTTCGCGAATGAAGTTCAGAGCTCCTATTTTTATTTTACCCTAATCTAATCTTAAAAGACTTAATCTCATTGATTGAATTTCATTATTACCAAGAACTTCCTCTTGTTTAGAATTCTAAAATCCACAGAAAATGAATAATTGAGATATCTCATTTAAGGGATAGGGAATATCAGTTCTTTCGCATTTCGATTCAAAATCATAAACATGAATCACATTCTATCCATATATAAATGAAGGACATTGGGAACACGGCCCAGCTTTACTTAATTACACTATTCTTCCCTCTAGGTTGTTCTTTTGTTTTTTTCTAATCAATTAATACACTTGAGCACCCAATTAAGTTTTGTTTATACCACCCTCCCTGTCTTGCTGTCCTCTTAAGTTACCACCACACTTCTCTATACACCTAAATTAGTAATTCTTAATCTGGGGCTAAATCAAGTAACTAAATATTATTTTAATTATATTAATTTTTTGTTCAGGATATTACAACCGTACTTGCTCATCTAACGACTTTAGGAATGCTCTCATTCGTGTCTTCCAATAAGATAAGTAGGCTTGTCAAAGAGCAGTGGTCACACAACTACTCGTCTATTTTGAGAATCCAATAATAACCAACTTGTAGTTATAATGAATCCAAAAGTAACCAGAAAACTAGATAAGCAAACAAATAGGAATGTCTACTAAGTGTCTAATGCAATTCTACGGGGAGATCCGCTATGGTACCAATTGTCAAGAAATATTATCTTTATGAGCGGAATGGATTGCCCCTCACAATGAAAATATATGGAATTAAGACACTATTTAGAGGGGATGAATAAGTTAATTAAAAATTAACGATTGCACAAACACTAATTTTAACCTAATTCTACTATAATTACATTTTTCACAAATAAATTTATCAGTTAAGATTGAGAACCCCGTTTTACATGAAAATTTACGAAATTGTCTATTGACACTCAATCTCACAATGATCTCAACCAAGGCAACAACAACCAAAACCACTATGAATGATTTGAAAAGTAAATAATTAAAACATCAAACACAAAATGCTCGTGTATGCATCAATTGCAAGTGTATAAGCAAATAAGCAACAAAGAGACGAGCAATGATTGACGCGAAAACCCTTTTTGAAAAAAAAATCGTGAAAAACTATTTGGGGTTCACCAAATCCTAATTTACTTTCCCAATTTTCTATTTACAAGTACTTGAGACTGATAATTCAATAAATAACATGGTTAGACACTTATTCCCTTCAATAAACCTCGCTATTGGATACACCCACCACTGTTATNCTTGAAAAAAAAATCGTGAAAAACTATTTGGGGTTCACCAAATTCTAATTTACTTTCCCAATTTTCTATTTACAAGTACTTGAGACTGATAATTCAATAAATAACATAGTTAGACACTTATTCCCTTCAATAAACCTCGCTATTGGATACACCCACCACTGTTATGGATAGTTTCACTTAAACTCTCCACTGCAATGAATTGTTTAGGCCTGGAGAAATCTTCTCCGCCAAGATCCATGGAATGCACACCTTTTCATTTAGTTTTGGTTGATCTCCAAACGGAATCATCTTCTCCAATGTGTTAAATTGGATTAGACTCTCAAGATAGATTTGCATTAGTCTCTTGGGATCTAGGATTCAAGGATTTCTTAAGGTTTGACAAACAAATTTTAAGCTCACAAAAGAGATATCCTAACTGAGAAAGACTCTTTATTTATAGGCTCAAAATANAATCATCTTCTCCAATGTGTTAAATTGGATTAGACTCTCAAGATAGATTTGCATTAGTCTCTTGGGACCTAGGATTCAAGGATTTCTTAAGGTTTGACAAACAAATTTTAAGCTCACAAAAGAGATATCCTAACTGAGAAAGACTCTTTATTTATAAGCTCAAAATAGGGTTCAAGGATCTCTTTAGGTTTGACTAGCAGATTTTAAGCTTACTCCCTCCATTTATACGCTTAGAATAAAGATTACCTTGGGGGCCAAATAAATCAAANGGCTCAAAATAGGGTTCAAGGATCTCTTTAGGTTTGACTAGCAGATTTTAAGCTTACAAAAGAGACACTTTAGCTGAGAAAGACTCCCTCCATTTATACGCTTAGAATAAAGATTACCTTGGGGGCCAAATAAATCAAAATTTCCGAACTACTTGAGCCATAGGAATGCAATAAGAGGGTTGTTGTTGCTAGAATAAAAAGAGGATTCAAACCAAAATGGCAAAGTAAGACCACTCGAGCCATCTCAAGACTACTCAAACAACCTAAGAACAACCCAAAGGACAGTCTCCTTTGCCCAACTCATTAGTCTTCCCCAAATTTATCCCTAGGTGTTTAGAGACTACTCTAATCGAAAACGAGACGAGTAAGCAAAGAGCGGTCCCAGATTTTAAAGTTGAAAACCAAACAAAAACTCTTCTCCTTAAACACTAAAAAGATGTTACTCAAGTGGAATCTAATAAATGACAAAACCTATCACTTTAAAACACATTTAAAGTTTATAAAATATTTTTCAACAAAAGACCTTGGAGTCATTTCCAGATGACTTCCTAATTTCATTTTATTCACCTTAATTATCTTAAAATCGAGTATCTAAGAAACAATCAGCAAGTAACCAATGACATAAAAGCAGTCTAGTAGGAACCTCAGAGACTACACGCGCAACAACTTATCCTAAATCCTTCTGTGAGTGGCTAGCTGAAATTATCGATGGTGATGGAACTATTCAAGCTAGTAAACAAGGATATACTTCTCATCCAAAGCATAAAGCCCACACCACATGGATTCCTACCAAAGAGGGTGCGTAGCGGGGAAGAGATTGTGCACAAAGAATAAAAATGTCATTGATTCAAAAGCTATCCACTAGATATGAAAGAAGTTTAAAATTAAACCAATGAATCTAGGTCTTGAAGGAAATTAAGTTTGTCCTTAGACTTGAAAGTGCACGAGTAATCTGGTTTAATCTACTCTTCCAACTTAAAAAACTTGATCTTTAAAACTTTGACGACGGTTAAAATTAGAATGCATAAAGTGAAAGGTATTACATAAGATTCAACTTGAGAGGCATGACATCCTAAGGCACATGCGAAGTTTGTCGGTTTATTATTTTGACCAGGTTAAAAACAAAAACGTTACACAAACAAAACAAAAATTTGAAAATTTAGCTCCAAATACATTAGTCCAAACACCTTGAAACACTTCGAAACCTAAAAATTTCAATATTCAACACTATTTTTTCGATTTTCATGGAAATGGAAGTACTTTAATCATGTCAACCACTTCGAAATAAAATTTTGATCCTTAATTTTACATATAGACACATTATTGGTACGCTTGGACCATATATGTAGATTAAACATTGTAAGAGGACACTTGGATCTTTGGCCATAAATGCAACGAGGAGAAGCATTAAGTCGAAACCCCTGGCCACGTTATTCGCAACTAAGAAAAGCAAAACAATAACCAGAAAGTCTCTGCTAGTACCTGACCAAGGTTGAAGGGTATATATATATATATAAAGAGAGAGAGAGAGAGAGAGAGAGAGAGAGAGAGATTTCCCGCTCAACATAAAAGTATGATTATACCGGGGATCTCAGTCGTCATCCCATAAATTTGTTAGTTTTTGATAAGATACAACACGTCCACAATAATCCCACTTAAATGGAGAGAGAGAGAGAGAGAGAGAGAGAGAGAGATTACCCGCTCAACATAAAAGTATGATTATACCGGGGATCTCAGTCGTCATCCCATAAATTTGTTAGTTTTTGATAAGATACAACACGTCCACAATAATCCCGCTTAAATGGAGAGAGAGAGAGAGAGAGATTACCCCCCCTCCCCCCCACCCCAAAAACAAAAAAAGAGACAGAGAAGCATAAACTCAAATATATGACTTGCACAAAATTTTATGGCAGAGAGATATTATGTTTGTCTAGCCCAGAAAACTTGAAACTCGTAAGAGCTTTGATGGTAATAAATTCAATAAAGAAATAAAAGACAAACTTCGATATACAACATAATGGAGCCAACAGAATTAGACATAAGTTCCATATTTCTTCAGTTACATCTCAATGTCTTCCAGGTCTGGTAAAGGGAAACGGAGGATTGCTGCAATCCCGGTCAGTTGTGCCAGTTCTGTGTTTTTACACAATGCAAAAAGTCTAGATTATGTTCGGAAAAGGAAACAAAAATATAACAGAACCTCCAATACACTTATCTGTCATCAGGAAAAAACTTTTCTAATTTATCCTGTTTGATCACACTGACAAAATGTTTTACACACGCTTATCAATTTAGGTAAGATACAGCTTTCTGCTTATACTAATAGGTAAATTGCCCATTGGACAGCAGATAAGTCATAAGTTTTACAATATGTAAAGAATGACGAATGAAAAAAGATGTAGTGAGGCAAATTAAATGTACTCACGTTCTCCAGAAACATGCATGGTTGAGAAAATATGAACTGTGCCTCCTGAATCCTTGACTGAGTTGACTAAATTCACATATTTTTTCCTTCTCTCTATATCAGCACTCCTGCAATCCAAAATGGAATCAAGAAATCATAGGAAGGGGAAAATTTGTATACCGTGAACTTTTGCCAAGTATCAATTCAAAAGAGTGCATGCCACAGAAGTCTAAAAATAAGATGATAAATGAAGAGAAAGACTCAAAACCTTGAAAAAATGAAAATAAAAATGAAACAAACAATTGACTGCACATTGCCCAAAAATATTGTGTGGGAGAGAGAGAGAGAGAGGAAACCTAAATATATCTGAAGCAGAATGTTTTCAGTTGATAGAACTGTTTTACATAATATCCCAAAGAAAATGAATAGTATCCCAAATAACGTTGGCAGCAACAACTTCCTTAGCCAACGTTTTGATTGACTTAGCTCTGCAAGTCACAGTAACATGCCACATGAACGTGCCCATTAGAAAGAGCCTCGAATAAATTATCCTTCTCGAATGCTTGATGAGTTTGATTAGGTTTACATGTTAGTACGAAAAATGACACATGCATCAAGTGCCACTTGGCATCATGAAAAAATCATAGTGCCTCTTTCCGCAGAATTTTCCAACTTCCGTCATTGATGGATGATTGACACCACATTGAAATTAGAAGACAAAATTGATACAAAACAAATAAGTACTAAAGTGCGTATCAATGTAACTTTGAGGGAAATAAAGTAATGATTCCTAATTTTGTAGAACGACTAAGATCTAGATCCAATTCACAATGATCACAGGGAGTAGTCGGCGAGCCTCAATACCCTGTAGCCAAAAAAACAGAAAAAAAAATCATACTTTTTACCCTAAAAGTGCACTGATTCTCACTTTGGTCCTTAACTTTTTGGTTTCAGTTATGTCTCCACCTTTCAACTTAGTGTCAATTCAATCAATTATTTCTGTCAAAAAGCATTACGGAATGTAAAAGTACCAATGGGCTTACATGTTTTCATTGTCCAAGAGCATTCCCTGTGTTTTTATTTTTAATTCCCTCTTATTTGTGCCCACCAAAATGCTAATAATCACGATGACTTTTGCCTCACCTCATTTGCTCCCTTTGACGAAGTTGGTAGTCTATTTCAAAAGATGCAAGCAAGGTTCTTCTCTTTTAAGACCAGTAACTACTCTTCAATTACCCGAGAGCTAAGTTTCTCTTTTCTTCCTTACTTTAAATGAATAGACACCGCTTTTGGTTCTTTATAATTCAAGATTACTTTCCATCCCTCTTTATTAATAACTAGATAAGTTGTTAGGAAATTGCTTCTCCGAATTGGCTAATTCCGTGAGATCACATTGTAAAATCACAACTAGATTTATGGTTATGAAGCTACAAAGATTAAGTCCAAAAGCAAAACAGAAGATGAAGTTCAAGCTATAAAGTCACATCCAAAGACTTCCAAAGATTCTTCCAAATTTAGGAAAATGTATATAACCTAGAGACCTTAAGTTACTCTTGGTATTTTTATTATGACTACCTAAGTTGATAAAATGGATTTAGGATGTTCCCGTACATGACTCTTGAACTTTAATTGAAAATCTTATTGAAATTTCAAGTTGAGTCCTATACTCGCTGGACTTCAAGTTGAGCAGTCTAAAGACTTGGGAAAGAATCGATAAAAAATTAAAACGTTGGACAATGGCCTCGTTGGTGACCTCAGATGGCTTGAGTGACACTCGGGCAGTCCCTGTTTACCTGGTCTGGAATTGTTCCCCTTTTAATTCTAGTCACTACTGCCGTTTAACTACCCTCTCACAGATCAAGTGGTCCCTTGAGAATTTGAGTTTTCTTCTTCCCCAATTAAACTCTATTTATAAGACCTACATATATGGGATGTCTTTTCGCACTAGAGTAAGCCTCAAAAACAAAAAATCAGCTATATCTAACATCTAGAGAGCCAAGAACAATCCTACAGATCCCTAATCTTCCATGGCCAAAATCGACCTTGATTGATCTCATGCTACACCTTCAAACTCGAAGAAAAGATAGAAATCTTGTACAACCAACAAACCTACATCAATGTGAAGAANATCCATGGCCAAAATCTACCTTGATTGATCTCATGTTACACCTTCAAACTTGAAGAAAAGATAGAAATCTTGTACAACCAACAAACCTACATCAATGTGAAGAAGAAAATCTTGGGAGGAGTTCTTGTAGATCAAAGAGGTTGAAGTTGGATCGTGGGGCTTAATTCGCCTTAGTGAAGCNCATGTTTTCATTGTCCAAGAGCATTCCCTGTGTTTTTATTTTTAATTCCCTCTTATTTGTGCCCACCAAAATGCTAATAATCACGATGACTTTTGCCTCACCTCATTTGCTCCCTTTGACGAAGTTGGTAGTCTATTTCAAAAGATGCAAGCAAGGTTCTTCTCTTTTAAGACCAGTAACTACTCTTCAATTACCCGAGAGCTAAGTTTCTCTTTTCTTCCTTACTTTAAATGAATAGACACCGCTTTTGGTTCTTTATAATTCAAGATTACTTTCCATCCCTCTTTATTAATAACTAGATAAGTTGTTAGGAAATTGCTTCTCCGAATTGGCTAATTCCGTGAGATCACATTGTAAAATCACAACTAGATTTATGGTTATGAAGCTACAAAGATTAAGTCCAAAAGCAAAACACAAGATGAAGTTCAAGCTATAAAGTCACATCCAAAGACTTCCAAAGATTCTTCCAAATTTAGGAAAATGTATATAACCTAGAGACCTTAAGTTACTCTTGGTATTTTTATTATGACTACCTAAGTTGATAAAATGGATTTAGGATGTTCCCGTACATGACTCTTGAACTTTAATTGAAAATCTTATTGAAATTTCAAGTTGAGTCCTATACTCGCTGGACTTCAAGTTGAGCAGTCTAAAGACTTGGGAAAGAATCGATAAAAAATTAAAACGTTGGACAATGGCCTCGTTGGTGACCTCAGATGGCTTGAGTGACACTCGGGCAGTCCCTGTTTACCTGGTCTGGAATTGTTCCCCTTTTAATTCTAGTCACTACTGCCGTTTAACTACCCTCTCACAGATCAAGTGGTCTCTTGAGAATTTGAGTTTTCTTCTTCCCCAATTAAACGCTATTTATAAGACCTACATATATGGGATGTCTTTTCGCACTAGAGTAAGCCTCAAAAACAAAAAATCAGCTATATCTAACATCTAGAGAGCCAAGAACAATCCTACAGATCCCTAATCTTCCATGGCCAAAATCGACCTTGATTGATCTCATGCTACACCTTCAAACTCGAAGAAAAGATAGAAATCTTGTACAACCAACAAACCTACATCAATGTGAAGAAGAAAATCTTGGGAGGAGTCCTTGTAGATCAAAGAGGTTGAAGTTGGATCGTGGGGCTTAATNAAAAGAAAAGAAAAAAAAATCATACTTTTTACCCTAAAAGTGCACTGATTCTCACTTTGGTCCTTAACTTTTTGGTTTCAGTTATGTCTCCACCTTTCAACTTAGTGTCAATTCAATCAATTATTTCTGTCAAAAAGCATTACGGAATGTAAAAGTACCAATGGGCTTAAATGTTTTCATTGTCCAAGAGCATTCCCTTTGTTTTTATTTTTAATTCCCTATTATTTGTGCCCACCAAAATGCTAATAATCATGATGACTTTTGCCTCACCTCATTTGCTCCCTTTGACGAAGTTGGTAGTCTATTTCGAAAGACGCAAGCAAGGTTCTTCTCTTTTAAGACCAGTAACTACTCTTCAATTACCCGAGAGCTAAGTTTCTCTTTTCTTCCTTACTTTAAATGAATAGACACCGCTTTTGGTTCTTTATAATTCAAGATTACTTTCCATCCCTCTTTATTAATAACTAGATAAGTTGTTAGGAAATTGCTTCTCCGAATTGGCTAATTCCGTGAGATCACATTGTAAAATCACAACTAGATTTATGGTTATGAAGCTACAAAGATTAAGTCCAAAAGCAAAACAGAAGATGAAGTTCAAGCTATAAAGTCACATCCAAAGACTTCCAAAAATTCTTCCAAATTTAGGAAAATGTATATAACCTAGAGACCTTAAGTTACTCTTGGTATTTTTATTATGACTACCTAAGTTGATAAAATGGATTTAGGATGTTCCCGTACATGACTCTTGAACTTTAATTGAAAATCTTATTGAAATTTCAAGTTGAGTCCTATACTCGCTGGACTTCAAGTTGAGCAGTCTAAAGACTTGGGAAAGAATCGATAAAAAATTAAAACGTTGGACAATGGCCTCGTTGGTGACCTCAGATGGCTTGAGTGACACTCGGGCAGTCCCTGTTTACCTGGTCTGGAATTGTTCCCCTTTTAATTCTAGTCACTACTGCCGTTTAACTACCCTCTCACAGATCAAGTGGTCTCTTGAGAATTTGAGTTTTCTTCTTCCCCAATTAAACGCTATTTATAAGACCTACATATATGGGATGTCTTTTCGCACTAGAGTAAGCCTCAAAAACAAAAAATCAGCTATATCTAACATCTAGAGAGCCAAGAACAATCCTACAGATCCCTAATCATCCATGGCCAAAATCTACCTTGATTGATCTCATGTTACACCTTCAAACTTGAAGAAAAGATAGAAATCTTGTACAACCAACAAACCTACATCAATGTGAAGAAGAAAATCTTGGGAGGAGTTCTTGTAGATCAAAGAGGTTGAAGTTGGATCGTGGGGCTTAATTCGCCTTAGTGAAGCTAGTACTCAAGACCTTGTGGTGGTTAATCCAAAGGGAAGTTTCAATGAAGAAAACGTCTAACCATGAGAACTTGGTTGAGGTATAAATCTTTAGCATTGTAATCGAACTTTGAGGATAGTGGATTACGGTTCCATATTTTTTTTGGATGAGTTTTCACGTTAAATTGCTTTGTGTGGTAATTGTCGATTTATTGTTTTACCTTACAAATACAATTGCAATGTCTCACACACCATCTGTTTAATCTAATGCTTGAATGGTGATATTTATATTGCGGTTATTTGAAATTGGTGGAAGGGCTTTGGAGGGATAAAGATGGTAGATTTGCATTAAATTGAGATTGATTCTTGAATTGAACATTCTTGCATCTATACCTAAATCCACAGGTTGCACATTGAAAAAGGGTTTATTGACCTTAACTAGACTAATTAATTGGCAAATATGGTCAATAGGTCTAATTGGGCAAATATTCTGCAAATGTAAAAGAACTATTCACTCTAGGTCATACTAAGCCTAACTTCACATGTTTAATCGTGTCGGGGACAATCCAATCACACTTCTCAATTGGTATCAGAGCATTGGTATCCCGAAAGTTGAGCTTAAGTGCTCTGTAGGTGTCCCTTGCGTTAACTTTGATCAAAGAGAGAAAAGAGAGGAGAAACAGAGGAAGAGAAAGAATATCATTACGGCATACTTAGCCTGTGCAATCAACTTAACCTTAAAATACACAATAAAGGTCCTTATACAGTACAACAATATAAAATTATTGTTATGGGAGGGGGAACTAAATATGGATCTTCCCACACGATTATACACATGGAGACCAAGACACAATACCAGAGGGGGGAGGGATGAAAGGTTTTTCAATTTTAGCCCAAATTAAATGCCAATTAAAACCTATGTTGACCACAATTATCTCTTTTCAATCAACTGCAGAAATTAACAATGATAACCCCTTTTTAAACACCACCAACCCTTTGAACCACGACGATTGATTTTAATTAATATGTAATTAATTCACTCAAGTCAATCTCACGACGATCCTAAATCCTCAAACCCAATGCACAACTATGGATGATATGATATCAAACAATCAAAACATCACACACATAGTATGCGTTTATGCTAACAAATCACAAGTGTATACGATAGAAAATAAAGAACACTAGCAATTTGTTGATATGGAAAACTCCCCTCGATAAAAACCACGGGAAACCTCACTAAGTTCATAAAGACTAATCCAGTACTCTCTAAGTCAACAAACAAATACTCAAGACTTATA